ACCTCATCACTGGTGAGGTCAAATTCCTCCAAGGCTGCTTGGTTTGCCTCCTCATTTAGTGCAGGGGCCTCTCCTTATTCTATTGTGAAGACCTCCTGGAATCTCTTGTTGAGTTCTTCACACACCTCCTTGTCGTTCTCTGTGTATCTGTTCTCCCCTTTTCTCAGTTTCATCACTTGTTTCTTCACTGCTGTTTTCCTCCTGATGTGGCTGTGGAGCAGCTTTGGTTGGGTCTTGACTTTACTCGCGATGTCATTTTCAAACTGTCTCTCTGCTTCTCTCCTCACTCTGAGGTACTCATTTCTGGCCCTCTGGTATCTCTCCCTGCTCTCTGGTGTTCTGTTATTCCTGTAGTTTCTCCATGTTATTGTACTCAATTGCTTCACTGCCGCACATTCCTGGTTGAACCATGGATTCTTCTGTTGCTTTTAATTTTTCACTTTTTGGACTGGGATAAACCTGCCTGCAGCATCCTGGCACTTCTGGGTGACATAATCCATCATATCCTGTACAGTCTTTTCTCTGAGTTCTGTTTCCCATGGTATTCCCATTAGGAAGTTCCTCATCTCATCATATTTTCCTCTTCGGTAATTTAGTCTTTTTCCTTCCAATCCCATCCCAGGATAGGTTATCCCTACCTCCACCAGATACTCAAATATCAATACACTGTGGTCACTCATTCCTATGAGGACTTCATATTTGACTTCTCTTATTTCTGAGTCATTTGAGGTGAGTATCAGGTCGAGTCTAGCTGTTTCGTCATTGCCTCTCACTCTTGTGGGTTCCCTGACATGTTGGCTCAGAAAGTTCCTTGTTGCCACTTCCAAGAGTTTAGCTCTCCACGTATCTGCACCTCCATGTGGGTCCCCCATTCTCCCAGTCTATCTTTCCATGGCTGAAATCGTCCATGATTAAGAGTCTTGAGCCATTCCTGCAGGCAACTGAAGCTGCTCTCTCTATTATGTTAATGGTTGCCATGTTGTTCCTATCAAACTCCTGTCTGGGTCTTCTGTCATTTAGGGGAGGGTTGTAAATGACAGTCACTATTATCTTAGGTCCACCCATTGTCATAGTTCCTGTTATGTAATCTCTGAATCCGTCGCAGCCCGGAATTTCCATCTCTTCAAAGCACCAGTCTTTCCTTATCAGCAGGGCCACTCCTCCACCTCCTCTCCCGTCTCTCTCTCTTTTCTTACTCTATAAAAGTCCTTTGGAAAAACAGCATTTGTTATGACTCCTGACAATTTTGTTTCTGAGTCCTATTACATCTGGGTTTTCTTCCTGCGCCCTTTCTGCCAGTTCACTTGCTTTGTTGGTAATCCCATCAATGTTTGAGTACATTACCTTGATGCTCAATTTCCTGAATCCATTTTCACACACATACGTGTGTGTGTATGTGTGTGTGTGTGTGTGTGTGTGTGTGTGTGTGTGTGTGTGTGTGTGTGTGTGTGTGTGTGTGTGTGTGTGTGTGTGAGTGTGTACTCACCTAGTTGTGTTTGCGGGGGTTGAGCTCTGGCTCTTTGGTCGCGCCTCTCAACCGTCAATCAACAGGTGTACAGATTCCTGAGCCTATTGGGCTCTATCATATCTACACTTGAAGCTGTGTATGGAGTCAGCCTCCACCACATCACTGCCTAATGCATTCCATTTGTCAACCACTCTGACACTAAAAAAGTTCTTTCTAATATCTGTGTGTGTGTGTGAGTGTGTGTGTGTGTGTGTGTGTGTGTGTGTGTGTGTGTGTGTGTGTGTGTGTGTGTGTGTGTGTGTGTGTGTGTGTGTGTGTGTGTGTGTGTGTGTGTGTGTGTGTGTGTGTGTGTGTGTGTGTGTGCGTGTGTGTGTGTGCGCGTGTGTGCGTGTCTGTGTGTGTGTGTGTGTGTGTGTGTGTGTGTGTGTGTGTGTGTGTGTGTGTGTGTGTGTGTGTGTGTGTGTGTATGTGTATGTGTGTGTATGTGTATATGTGTGTATGTGTGTATGTGTGTGTGTGTGTGTGTGTGTGTGTGTATGTGTGTGTGTGTGTGTGTGGGTGTGTGTGTGTGACTGTGTGTGTGTGTGTGTGAGTGTGTGTGCATGTGTGTATGTGTATGTGTGTGTGTGTTTGTATGTGTGCGCGCGCGCGCGTGTGTGTGAACAAACAACAGCGAGATTGTAAGCAACAAGAAAGACTCACTCACCAACGAAAGAGGAGAGGGAGAAGCCGACAAGGAGCACCAACAGGTGTGTACCAACACACACACACGCACACACACCTGCAGTAATGTATTAAGAGGGAGCACATGTGTGGAGGAGACGGCCCCGGGCTACTTGTCCCCATTAAGGAAGATTAAGTACACATTCGCCTCACTCTTTATGCTCTCATCTAATTAATGTGTGTTTTTGGTAAACATTTACTCTTGTGGAATGTATGTTAGGTAAGGTTAGGTTAGGTTAGGTTAGGTTAGGTTAGGTTAGGTTAGGTTAGGTAACTCTCAATAGAAAGGTAAGGTTAGGTTAGGTTAGGTTAGGTTAGGTTAGGTTAGGTTAGGTAAGGTTAGGTAACTCTCAATAAAAAGGTAAGGTTAGGTTAGGTTAGGTTAGGTTAGGTTAGGTTAGGTTAGGTAACTATCAATAGAAAGGTAAGGTTAGGTTAGGTTAGGTTAGGTTAGGTTAGGTTAGGTTAGGTTAGGTTAGGTAACTATCAATAGAAAGGTAAGGTTAGGTTAGGTTAGGTAAGGTTAGGTAACTCTCAATAAAAAGGTAAGGTTAGGTTAGGTTAGGTTAGGTTAGGTTAGGTAACTATCAATAGGAAGGTAAGGTTAGGTTAGGTTAGGTTAGGTAACTATCAATAGAAAGGTAAGGTTAGGTTAGGTTAGGTTAGGTAAGGTTAGGTAACTCTCAATAGAAAGGTAAGGTTAGGTTAGGTAAGGTTAGGTAACTATCAATAGAAAGGTAAGGTAAGGATCCTGGGTTGTCCCCAACCAGGAACGAAGAGGTTGGGGGACATTTACTTTCACCTGAAGCGTCTGTTCACCTAGCAGCGAACAAGTAGCCGGGAGTCAGGAAACTGTTGTGGTTGGTCGAGAGGTCATCAGTAGTTGGCCTAACTGGCTTGCGATCTTGGGACAGTCTATGTGAACCTTAAGGTGAATTAGGCAATTGGTGGCTGTAAGGCAAGGAGCCCATGAGCTAAGTCCCGATCTTGTAGGCAAAAATAGATGAGTACAAATAGGTGAATACACACACACACACACACACACACACACACACATACACACACACACACACACACACACACACACACATAGTAAGAGGCTGCAAGATGACCTAGACAGACTGAGTGAATGGTCCAACAAATGGCTGTTGAAGTTCAACCCGAGTAAATGCAAAGTAATGAAAATAGGCAGTGGAAACAGGAGGCCAGACACAGGATACAGAATAGGAGATGAAGTACTTAATGAAACAGACAGAGAGAAAGATCTAGGAGTTGATATCACACCAAACCTGTCTCCTGAAGCCCACATAAAAAGAATAACGTATGCGGCATATGCGAGGCTGGCTAACATCAGAACAGCGTTCAGGAACCTGTGTAAGGAATCATTCAGAACCTTGTATACCACGTATGTAAGACCAATCCTGGAGTATGCGGCCCCAGCATGGAGCCCGTACCTTGTCAAGCACAAGACGAAGCTGGAAAAAGTCCAAAGGGATGCCACTAGACTAGTCCCAGAACTAAGAGGCATGAGTTACGAGGAAAGGCTGCGGGAAATGCATCTTACGACACTGGAAGACAGAAGAGTAAGGGAAGACATGATCACAACCTACAAAATCCTCAGAGGAATCGACCGGGTAAACAAGGATAAACTATTCAACACTGGTGGGACGCGAACAAGGGGACACAGGTGGAAACTGAGTACCCACATGAGCCACAGAGACGTTAGAAAGAACTTTTTCAGTGTCAGAGTAGTTAACGGATGGAATGCATTAGGCAGTGATGTGGTGGAGGCTGACTCCATACACAGTTTCAAGTGTAGATATGATAGAGCCCAATAGGCTCAGGAACCTGTACACCTGTTGATTGACGGTTGAGAGGCGGGACCAAAGAGCCAGAGCAGCACACACACACACACACACACACACACACACACACACACACACAAACACACACACACACACACACACACACACACACACACACACACACACACACACACACACACACACACACACACACACACACACACACACACACACACACACACACACACACACACACACACACAAACACACACACACACACACACACACACACACACACACACACACACACACACACACACACACACATAGTTGTGTCACCTACAGTCGTGGCTGGAACCTTGTTTTCCTAGTGGCTGGCAGCGGAGCATCAAAACATTGGTAATCTCTAACATGATCCACTGAGGCTCTCCAGACACACCCAGGAGAAATCTCATCCTCATTTTGTCCTTTCTTGGTTCTCTGTTATCCTCCTCTCTCTCCCCCTCTCTCTCTCTCTCTCTCTCTCTCTCTCTCTCTCTCTCTCTCTCTCTCTCTCTCTCTCTCTCTCTCTCTCTCTCTCTCTCTCTCTCTCTCTCTCTCTCTCTCTCTCTCTCTCTCTCTCTCTCTCTCTCTCTGTCTGTCTGTCTCTCTCTCTCTCTCTCTCTCTCTCTCTCTCTCTCTCTCTCTCTCTCTCTCTCTCTCTCTCTCTCTCTCTCTCTCTGTCTCTCTCTCTCTCTCTCTCTCTCTCTCTCTCTCTCTCTCTCTCTCTCTCTCTCTCTCTGTCTCTCTCTCTCTCTCTCTCTCTCTCTCTCTCTCTCTCTCTCTCTCTCTCTCTCTCTCTCTCTCTCTCTCTCTCTCTCTCTCTTGCTCTCTGCTGCCGTATCTCCTCAGATATCATCCTCTCCTCTTCTATTCCATCCGGTCTAGCTATCATACAGGCTTCTATTCCTCTTTCATAATTCTCCTTCTCTGTCTCCCCTTGCCTCTATGTCAAGTTCTCAAACCTTCTTTGACTTTCTATTTCGTTAACTTCCTTCATGCCATTCTCTCTTCCTTCTTCTAAAATAATTTTAAAACTAGACAAGACATAGCTGAAGCTCTTGCCATTGAACACTGCCAATCACTTATAAATCTCAGCTCACATCTGGGTATATCCTACCATATATACGACCAGGATAAAGCTATAATATATAATGGTCCAGCCAGCCAATGAGAACGCAAGGCAAGATTCCCCCGAGTACTATTGACAGGGTATATATCTTATTCCTCTTGCACGAAAGATATAATGCTGCCTTTATCTACTTATACCAGCCTTCCCTCCGCCTCCGAAGATGCTAGGGATTACCTTAGCAAAACGTGGACTTTAGACATGGATAAAGGTTACACCCTCATAGGTAATCATTTGCACCTGATGAATGAAGCGGCGGGTGATGAGTGAAACCTCCAACGTGGCCCTCAACGCGAGGCTTCCAGACCTCCAACGAGGCCCTCAACACAAGGCTTCCAGACCTCCAACGAGGCCCCCAACACGAGGCTTCCAGACCTCCAACGTGGCCCCCAACACGAGGCTTCCAGACCTCCAACGAGGCCCTCAACGCGAGGCTTCCAGACCTCCAACGAGGCCCTCAACACGAGGCTTCCAGACCTCCAACGAAGCCCTCAACGCGAGGCTTCCAGACCTCCAACGAAGCCCTCAACGCGAGGCTTCCAGACCTCCAACGAGGCCCTCAACACGAGGCTTCCAGACCTCCAACGAGGCCCCCAACACGAGGCTTCCAGACCTCCAACGAGGCCCTCAACGCGAGGCTTCCAGACCTCCAACGAGGCCCCCAACGCGAGGCTTCCAGACCTCCAACGAGGCCCTCAACACGAGGCTTCCAGACCTCCAACGAGGCCCCCAACACGAGGCTTCCAGACCTCCAACGAGGCCCTCAACGCGAGGCTTCCAGACCTCCAACGAGGCCCCCAACACGAGGCTTCCAGACCTCCAACGAGGCCCTCAACGCGAGGCTTCCAGACCTCCAACGAGGCCCCCAACGCGAGGCTTCCAGACCTCCAACGAGGCCCTCAACACGAGGCTTCCAGACCTCCAACGAGGCCCTCAACACGAGGCTTCCAGACCTCCAACGTGGCCCTCAACACGAAGCTTCCAGACCTCCAACGAGGCCCTTAACACGAGGCTTCCAGACCTCCAACGAAACCCCCAAAACGAGGCTTCCAGACCTCCAACGAAGCCCTCATAGCGAGGCTTCCAGACCTCCAACGAGGCCCCCAACACGAGGCTTCCAGACCTCCAACGAGGCCCTCAACACGAGGCTTCCAGACCTCCAACGTGGCCCCCAACACGAGGCTTCCAGACCTCCAACGAGGCCCCCAACACGAGGCTTCCAGACCTCCAACGTGGCCCCCAACACGAGGCTTCCAGACCTCCAACGAGGCCCCCAACACTAGGCTTCCAGACCTCCAACGAGGCCCCCAGCACTAGGCTTCCAGACCTCCAACGAGGCCCCCAACACTAGGCTTCCAGACCTCCAACGTGGCCCCCAACACGAGGCTTCCAGACCTCCAACGAGGCCCCCAACACGAGGCTTCCAGACCTCCAACGAGGCCCCCAACACTAGGCTTCCAGACCTCCAACGAGGCCCCCAACACGAGGCTTCCAGACCTCCAACGAGGCCCCCAACACTAGGCTTCCAGACCTCCAACGAGGCCCCCAACACGAGGCTTCCAGACCTCCAACGAGGCCCCCAACACGAGGCTTCCAGACCTCCAACGAGGCCCCCAACACGAGGCTTCCAGACCTCAGGTTTCCTTGGCCAGGGGATGGAGATAGGGGAGACGAGGGAGTTTACCCCCCAACATATATATTATTTAACTCACTTTTCCCCTCTAATTTAAAGGGGAAATTAAGTAGATCTTAACACCGAAGTTGTTTTTTCCCTTAATTCTATTAAGGTTTGTCATTAAGTTAAGGTTGTTACATTTATTAACAACGCCAAACGTATAACAATGTTTGGAGTTCATTTACCTGGGTTGTAGGAGACTCGAACCTTGGACCCCACGCATGTGAGGCAGAAGCTCTATCCACTCAGCTATGAATAGCCTTAATAAGGAAAGATTCCAAAAGCAACTATACTGCTGCTATGCTGGAGTGGTCAACTTCCTCCTGACCACTACAACAGCTCGGTCCAACCACTTGGGCTGGACGGTAGAGCGACGGTCTCACTTCAAGCAGGTCGGCGTTCAATCCCCCCGACCGTCTAAATGCTTGGGCCACCGTTCCTATCCCCTCGTCCCATCCCAAAATCCTTATCCTGATCCCTTCCCAGTGCTATATAGTCGTAATGGCTTGGCGATTTTCCCCCCTGATAATTTCCTTCCCTCAGAGGGTAAATATATCTATTAGTTCCTATCTATTAGTTCTATCTATCTATCTATAGAACTATCTATTAGTTCCTGTTTTATTATCTCGAGTATATCCGTAATCATTCTGCCTTGGCGCTGTATATAATCAGTCTGTCTGTATAATAATCAGTAGTCAAGGGGAAGATGATAATTCCAGCATACCTGGAGTTATCTTGAGGTTATCTTGAGATGATTTCGGGGCTTTAGTGTCCCCGCGGCCCGGTCCTCGACCAGGCCTCCACCCCCAGGAAGCAGCCCGTGACAGCCGACTAACACCCAGGTACCTATTTTACTGCTAGATAACAGGGGCATAGGGTGAATGAAACTCTGCCCATAGTTTCTCGCCGGCGCCCGGGAACGACCCCGGGACCACAGGATCACAAGGAGTATAATTGCTTCTGGAACCTTTCCTTATTAAGGCCACTCATAGCTGAGTGGATCAAGCTTCTGCAACACACGCGTGGAGCCCACAGTTCGAGTCTCCTACAGCCCAGGAAAATGAAATCCAGATATTGTAAATTACGATACTTTCCAGAGGACTGTTAACCCTAAAATGTTAGTTCCCGTATCACCAGCCAATCAGAGAACACGATCTCTAATGACCATAATTACCGTCCTGGTTTTATCTAGGCTGCTGATATCGTAGGAACTATCGCATGGAACTATAGCATGGAACTATCGCATGGAACTATCGCATGGAACTATCTTATGGACTATCGCATGGAACTATCGCATGGAACTATCGCATGGAACTATCTTATGGACTATCGCATGGAACTATCGCATGGAACTATCGCATGGAACTATCGCATGGAACTATCACATGGAACTATCGCATGGAACTATCGCAGGAACTATCGCATGGAACTATCGCATGGAACTATCGCATGGACTATCGCATGGAACTATCGCATGGAACTATCGCATGGAACTATCACATGGAACTATCGCATGGAACTATCGCATGGAACTATCGCAGGAACTATCGCATGGAACTATCGCATGGAACTATCGCATGGAACTATCACATGGAACTATCACATGGAACTATCACATGGAACTATCGCATGGAACTATCGCATGGAACTATCACATGGAACTATCACATGGAACTATCACATGGAACTATCGCATGGAACTATCGCATGGAACTATCGCATGGAACTATCACATGGAACTATCGCATGGAACTATCACATGGAACTATCGCATGGAACTATCGCATGGAACTATCACATGGAACTATCGCATGGAACTATCGCATGGAACTATCACATGGAACTATCGCAGGAACTATCGCATGGAACTATCGCATGGAACTATCGCATGGAACTATCGCATGGAACTATCGCATGGTACTATCACATGGAACTATCGCAGGAACTATCGCATGGAACTATCGCATGGAACTATCGCATGGAACTATCGCATGGAACTATCACATGGAACTATCGCATGGAACTATCGCATGGAACTATCGCAGGAACTATCGCATGGAACTATCGCATGGAACTATCGCATGGAACTATCACATGGAACTATCACATGGAACTATCGCATGGAACTATCGCATGGAACTATCACATGGAACTATCGCATGGAACTATCACATGGAACTATCGCATGGAACTATCGCATGGAACTATCACATGGAACTATCGCATGGAACTATCGCATGGAACTATCGCATGGAACTATCGCATGGAACTATCGCATGGAACTATCGCATGGAACTATCGCATGGAACTATCGCATGGAACTATCGCATGGAACTATCGCATGGAACTATCGCATGGAACTATCGCATGGAACTATCACATGGAACTATCGCATGGACTATCGCATGGAACTATCGCATGGAACTATCGCATGGAACTATCGCATGGAACTATCGCATGGAACTATCGCATGGTACTATCACATGGAACTATCGCATGGAACTATCGCATGGAACTATCGCATGGAACTATCGCATGGAACTATCGCATGGAACTATCGCATGGAACTATCGCATGGAACTATCGCATGGTACTATCACATGGAACTATCACATGGAACTATCGCATGGAACTATCACATGGAACTATCGCATGGAACTATCGCATGGAACTATCGTATGGAACTATCGCATGGAACTATCGCATGGAACTATCGCATGGAACTATCGCATGGAACTATCGCATGGAACTATCGCATGGAACTATCACATGGAACTATCGCATGGACTATCGCATGGAACTATCACATGGACTATCGCATGGAACTATCGCATGGAACTATCGCATGGTACTATCACATGGAACTATCGCATGGAACTATCGCATGGAACTATCGCATGGAACTATCGCAGGAACTATCGCATGGAACTATCGCATGGAACTATCGCATGGGACTATCGCATGGAACTATCGCAGGAACTATCACATGGAACTATCGCATGTAACTATCGCATGGAACTATCGCATGGAACTATCGCATGGAACTATCGCATGGACTATCGCAGGAACTATCGCATGGAACTATCGCATAGAACTATCGCATGAACTTTCGCATGGAACTATCACATGGAACTATCGCATAGAACTATCGCATAGAACTATCGCATGGAACGATCGCATGGAACTATCGCAGGAA